AACTGTTCCTCGTCGTATAAGTCAGCTAAACGACCAATCTGCAAGGAACAAACTAGAAAAAGGTTTGATAACAACAGTAAACTGAGCTGATTGTTTGCTGGAGAAGCAAGCTTGGTATGTTTTCATAACCTTTCCCGAACCAGTGCGAATAGTTTTCGAAAAGAGCTCTTAAGCAGGATGTCGTGTCTAGTGGTTCAGTGAATGTTATCCCTTCGTTCTTAGAGCTCTGAAACAGAATTTTAAAATTTTTTGTAGATGAAAGGCTTAAAAAAAAACCTTCGAAAAAAGTATATTCATTCGGCTATCCAATATAGATGCTTCTTTACTCTCAAGTGATATCATTGCTTCTTCACCTCGAACTCTTAAAAAAACTGTATGAAACTAAAAATCGATAATTTACCTCTGTTTCTCTTCTTCTTCATCTTCTCCATCCGGTTCGGGTAATTGCTTGAACTGTTTTCCTTCATGAGCTCCTTGTAACATTTCAGTCAACATATTGATTGCTTCACAGCTTATGAGAATCTGATCGATCTATAATTCTTTTTTTAAATTTAATTCTAAAGAATCTTTCATACATTGTTTTCATTAACTTCTGCACCGGTTGGCGTTAACGATAATACACCGAAAAACGAAATCCAAAACTCTTCGAATTGTTGACGCGTTGCGCAACCGAGGTTGTTAATTCGTAACATGAAGTCTTCCAAAATGCTTTTGTTGACCAGTTGATGAATGCTCACTAATGGCACTTTCAAGGTTTACAATGGTCTCATTACTATATTGACTATCCAGTCTCGCCTAAATTTTCAACGATAAGTGAGTTGAAAAACAATTGATTACATCATAGCCTCACGAGGAGCTATGGCAAACTGGTGAAGAAGAGGATGTCGATGAAACTCTGAAAAAATTATTTTTCGATCATTTGCTCGGATTATATAGTATCACGTCTGATGAATCCAGTTAAGTTTCGAAAATCTAGGTTTTTCGATTGAGAGAGCAGTTTGCTTTTCCACTCCAATTCCTGTGTTCTCAAAAAGAGATCTCGACATATTTCTGGATAGCTAGAGTGATTTCCCTGATGAACTCTAGATTCTCCCAAAGATTTCACTTCAACACAATTCGACACAGTCTCAGTTGTAATGGGAAGAGCCTGTGACAGTATTCAGCTTTTCTTTCGAAAATCATTACTTACATAATCCATCTGTTTAGATATTTCGTTTGTTATGTTACTAAGTTCAGGGAGATGAACAAGTATTTGGTTTTCATAAAGCGATTTACAGCACGGTTCCCTCCAAATGAAATTGAAGAAATCAGCAATAACCATCAACTCAGAAATACTATCTCTCTGTGATTAGCTTAATCATTAAGAGTTGAAGTGAAAGGACATACTTGTATGATGGCTAAAGCAGCCGATAGGATCATACTCATATCTTTGGCATTGTATTTCTTACCCCAACACACAAATCTTCGGATTAACTGAAAAGGATTTATATAGTAGTTTACTACATTTCTGAACAACTAACCAGAGGTTTCAAGGCTGTCACGAATTTCATATGAAGAAAAGCGAAATCATCATTACGAGTGTCGAGTAGATCATACTGCGAGCATAGTAAATCTACCAACCGTTGTCCTTTATTTTGCAATTGAGAGTAC